GTCACGGTCATAGGTAGGGCCAATGAGAGCACCCAGGTGGGCATCATGATGATCACTTTTTTCTCCTCCCACCCTACAGATGTGTACCTGAAGGTGCTCCAACAAATCCGTCCCATTGCGATGGCAATGCAGGCGTACTGTTGTGCCCAAGTAGTCTGCCATGAGTAGCACTCCGAGAATCCTCGCTAATGCTTCCCTTGGCTGCCTGTCGGCACGGCCAGCTCATAACTTGCCGAGAACAGCACTCCGAGAAACCTCGCTAATGTTTTCCCTTGGCATTCTGCAGGTTCCAGTGGGTGCGCTCACTGGTGGCCGCTTGAGCTGGCCGTCGTTGTCTCCTGCGACTTGGGGTAGCCGAACTTCTCCGCGAAGATCTCGGTGCCATCCAGCATGGTCTGGGAGCTGTCCTTGAGCTTCTAGCGTTCCTTCAGCCCCTTCACTTCCTCTGGGTCCATGTTGTCATCGTTCTTCAGCTAACCGATGGCGACTTTCATTACTTTGTGGAGGTTACCCCCGTCGTTCCTCGCGATCTTCAGCGCTAGCTCGCACCAGCTCTGCACTGTAAAGGCCTTATTCCCCTGTCTCCCCTGTTGGTCCACTGGGTACCTCGCGATGAGGTCGCAGCCTTCAATCTTGTGCGTCATCGGGAAAGACACTGGGAACACATCGAATAGCTCCTCTGGGCTCATCTTCTTGGCCGCGTCGAAGAACTCGCAGTCACACTCCTTGGTGGCGTCGTCGAGTTGTTGCGGCAGCCTTTCCACAATGAGCGCTTGCCATACGTCTCTCACTTTGAACTCCACCACCTTCGATGAGAAGGAACAGGAGGAAGAGGAGGAGGAGGAGGCGGAGGAGAAGGAGGCGGAGGAGAAGGAGGCGGAGGAGAAGGAGGAGGAGGAGGAAGAGGAGGAGGAGCAGGAGAAGGAGGAGGAGGAGGAGGAGGAGGAGGAGGAGGCCCCAAAACGGCCCAAGAGGGCCCCCAGGCGGTCCATGAGGCGCCCAAGACGGCCCAGAGGGCCCCAAGACGGCCCCAAGAGGGGGACCACGAACCGAAAAGTCTAACCTTTCGCCCCCAGGACGCTTACAGGAGGCCCCAAGAGCCCCCCAAGAAGCCCCAAGAGGCCCCCAAGAGGCGTCCCAAGAGGCCACCAGGAGGCCAACATCATTGATTTCCTCTG